AATGATACTTACAACAGCCAAGTATCAAATGAGGAATCCGACTTACAAAACATGAAGTCCATGGCCAAGCCTGATTGCACATAGATTGAATAAAATTTAGCTTCATCTCATCAAATGTGTCAGTACAACTTACAAAACCTGTTGTGAGTCTTGCACATTACAAGTTAATAATTGCAATAGTAAAGATTTGTGACAGTTTGTAAAAATAAAAGACAGCAAAACTCAAAAGCTTCATACGAATTGAAAGCACAAACCATACTTACATTAGACGACCAACCAGACAGGTGAAATGTGGCAAAACTTTCCAATGTCCAACAAAACAACTTCAAATTACATTCCAAGTCAAATGTTTTGGTTGCAAAATCTGTAACTCTAACTACATACTATATAAAATGTAGTTACAATGGAAGCAAAGTGGACCGCCACCGCTATAGCAAACATTCAAGCAATTGGATAACAAATACAAAAACTAATGTAAAAACTATAGTTGCAACTGTCTACTGCCTGAATGAATGGGCAAGCATTTTTCACTCCCACCTTTTCACACTGCTCATGTGCCAATTACTAAAACAGCTTTTGTAAAAAATTTAATCTATTTATCTAAACAACCTGTTCAGAGAGGTCATTATACACCTTAGGAGCTGATGGGACATGACCCCAAGGCCCCTGGTACAGGGGTAAGGACACTGTCCCTGTGCCACATTAGGGACTCAGCTTTGCTTCTGGTGGTTGGCAAATTATAGATAACAAGTGAACAAAAATCTTATTAGTTGTCAATCAGAATTCTCCAATCCCATGACCAGGAAATGTGCCAGTTAGTTAAGATCAAAGTCTTTTCCCCAAGGTCGGGGAATGCAAAACCAGAGGGCATAATTTTAAAGGGAGAGGAGAAAGATCTAAAAACGGACTTGAGGGGCAACTTTTTCCACAAAGAGGGTGGCTCATATGTGAAATGAACTGACAGAGGAAGTGGTAGATGCAGGTACAGTTACAACATTTAAAAGACACTTGGACAGGAACATGAATAGGAAAGGTTTAGAGGAATATGAATTTAATGGGACTAGTATAGTTTGGAAAACTTGGTCGGCATGGATGGGTTGGGCCAAAGGGTCTGTTTCCGTATGGTATGACTCTTGCTTAAGGGTTCTAGAGGTGCAGTGATAGTATCCCCCCCATCTGAGCCAGAAGCACAGTTTCAAGTCCTGTCAATAACATGTCACACTGGTTGATAGATTTTCTATCAGCAACTGCTTGGGTCTCATGTAGCACAGTGGTAGTTACCCTACTTCTGAGGTAGGAGGCCAGGGTTCAAGTTCCACCTGGTCCCAAACAGGTTGTTTAGGTACTCCCTCAGAGCTACTGCCTAGGTTGCCCGCCACTGGACCAGGAAGCTAAGTTTTCAAGTCCCACCTGATGCAGAGGTGTGTGATAATGTCTCTGAACAGGCTGGATTAGAAAACCCGAGCTACTGCAGTAGAGGATTCTTGTGGCATAGCATTTTTGACCCTACCCCTGGCTCAGAAGAATGAAGTTCAAGTCCCATCTCCTGCAGAGATGAATCATAATATCCCTGGATAGGTTGATTAAAAAAATACTTCAACTACTGGAGGAGAATCAGAGTGAACCTTCCCCTCAGATAGCTGGAAAACGCATAAACATACTAGCCCTAGAGCACAGAGACAAGGGTTATCATGCTTACCACATCCCCAAGGCCTCGTACATTCACAGATTTGTGTACCTAATGACTCTCAAGGTCTGGTTCAGTCAACTTTTGGCCAAAGACTGATATGTTCCCAAAAAGCTTTACCTGCATGATTCTTTCATTTTGGTCTCCATCATTTACTTCATGAGCTGGTCTCAAGGGTTTTAAAAGAATCGTAGCTGTCCCTTAATGTTTGTCAGTTTAAAAAATGACAGAGACTATGGCAGCTTGAACTGCCCATAATTCCCTACACACTCTGGGAGGCATCCAAATGGCAGAAAAATTAGAGCGGACAAAAAAAGTTACTAAATTCGCTGTCTGTTCAAAACTACACCTTTATTGCAGGTGTCTCCATTCAGTCTGTACAATAAAATGCCAAAGTCCTGTCACATTAAAGTTATTTCATAATCTGCACTTGGAAAGCCAGGCGACTACCTAAACCAAAGGATTTGGGCAATGCATCAGTATTGAATGGGAACTTATTCTACTCAAGTTCGATTGGTTGAGATGCTGATAATTTCAATGCACAATCCTCAGTTTCTGCCATATAAGGCAGATAGCATTTGAAGAGTTTAGATATTGATTCTGTGAGGTTGTGTCCCCTCCCTCCAACATTTTGACTTCACCTCGGCATATTACCAATGGAAGTGCCTCAAACTGCCTTCCTGAATGAGCCTTTTCAAATTGTCAGTCACAAGCCATTATCTCTCATGAGTTGATGGGTATGTTGGACATCTTCAGGAACATGGACAACAATCCTAAAGGGTTTTTTCTGACCTTCTAGGAATTTCTTGGCATGACTGAGTTCCAGCAATTGAGCAATTGTTTCAGGAGTCTACTGTCAGGCATACTAATAATATGTTCCACCCAGCAGATCAGGTTTAGAACTATTAGCACCTTGATGCTAGGCAAATGGGCTTCCAAGAGAACACTGCTTTAGATCAACTTTCTTGCCTGATTTGGAATTTCTTGCAAAGATACCATTGGTGCTTCTTCTCTAGTTATTCAGTCTCCCGTACACATTCATCTAATACACCAAATTATATGCAAGCACAGGAATCAATGAATCAATTAAGCTTAACCTTATTCTCCCAATCCTCAAGTACTCACTTTTTTGTTTCCTTTGTCAGCAGAAGGCTGAGTTGGCACATTGGAGGTGATGAACTATCATAACTATGGCTGCCTTTGTCATGAGAAGGTCCAAAGGTATACAAAATGGTTGACATTTTCTATGATTGTCATGTTGGTCTCAATCAAATCAAGGGAAGCATCATCTGTGGGAGCTAAATGAGAACATTAAGTTTCTGATGTTTTCTGTTTCACATATGCTTCAGTGAGCTAGCTGACAACGACCTGGATCACAGATTGAGTGAGCATGCATACAAGTGTATTTGCAGACTGTAGCTATTGGTTATGGACTGAAGATGAATGTTGAACAATTGCCTGTCTGTTCAGAAGATCATCTCCACAGTTTTGGGGTAACTTGCTAGAGACATGGTATAGCCAAGAAAAATGCAGGAGTTAGTCAAATGACAGCCTTGTCTGACCCCCATTCTCATTGAATGAGGGTTTGTAGTGGTCCCAGAAGTAACAGCTAGCATGTAATTGTAGAGTAGGTAGGGGATGATGACAAATTTCTGAGGGTACCCAAATTTGAGCACAATATTCCATCAGCCTTCATTGCCAAGAGCATACAGGAATTGCGACAAGAATGTAAGTCAAGGATAAGAAAAGGACATTTGTCCCTTTAAAACATATCCCAAGATTCTATGCTTTTAACATTTTCCAAAACAGAAAGTATCATTAGACACATTTATCAAGCATTGCATGAAATAATTATCTAACTTAAATTTACTATTCACAAGTTTAAATACTTAACACCTACAGTCCTTTGAAATGAGCCAAATGTAACATTCTGACCATATCTAACCAATAGAAGAATTTCACAGAATGACTATAAATTCTCAAAGCCAGTACCATTTGTCTCAACTGCAAAATTTAAACCTTTCGCCAGTGTAAAGTGGTTAAAAACCAGACATGCTGAACTCCACAAAACCTTTGGAGCCTGTCACAGGAGCACAAGCACAATCCAGTGAGTATAAAGCTACATACATATGATCTATGGCTAGATGATAACTGTCATACATTGTTTTCCTATCAGTCAGATGAATCAGACTAGATTTTTTAAGACATTAGGAAACTCCTAGACTGCCAACAATAAAAATCAGAACAAAATCTAATTTGTGCTTCAAACAAGAGTTGTAAATACTCCAGCAGGTTATATGACAGCAGAATCCTCATCTGTGAAAACGTCTCATAATTCACTCCCACACATTTAGGTTTCACGCATACAAATATAAAATCGAGACATCATTTCACATGAATACGAATTATGTCTTTTATTTTAAAAAGAAGCTGTAGCTTTCATTTTGAAGAACTGTAGTGGAAAGAAAGCACCTTCGATTTCAATTATGCCCTGAATAATTCACTGCAAGGGGCTGTTTGTTACCATAGCAACCTCACAAATTGCAACGTGGAAAACTATATTTTGTCATTACATCGCCTTATTTGTGAAACGACAAAGCGAACATTAACATCTTCTGCACAACTAGCATGTAATTCGAGCAGCCTGTACAATTCATAAATTCCCCTTTATTGACATTATACCAATCCATTCATAACAGTTTGAGACGCGGGCTGTGCTGATCCTGAGTGTATACATTGTTTTGTGTAGTTTCAGGGAGCCGGGGGAACACAGTCTTATTTGCATTACAAGAGAAAGGAGAACATTATCTGTGTTCCTTTTCTTTTGGGGCTGTATCTTATATATACACATTTTTGAAATTATAATGGAGATAATATGCCAATACTCGCAAACACAGCACACAAAAAAAATGCGCAGTTTAAAAAAAGACGCACCCCAAGTTCAAACACTACAACCCATCAATTTCACAGGTAATAAAACTCCACGTGACTACCTGTTGCTCACATTCCACAATCATATGATCTCACCGGCAATCATTAAACATTTACCACAGCCACAGAACACCCAATGGTAAACGCAGCCGGTAGTAAATTTCGCTTTCTGATTAACCCTTATACTTCCACTTGAATTATGAAATAAGAGGCCTTTTAAAAAAATATATATACACACAAAAGTAAATACACTCAACAACAGACCAACTGAAAACAAGACAGGTGGATTTGAGGCAAAGCGGGATCTCCCAGCTCATTCACCTGCTCGCAGTTTTATAGGTTCACAGCAAAATATAAAATAAAACACAGACACGCAACTCACTTAATGAAGTAGCTGGCTCCTTCCTCAGTGAAACCTTCCTCCCAACCCCGAGGTAGATCTGGAAGTGAAGACATGGAAGGGGAGAGAGAGAGAGAAAGAGAAAGAGTGAAAGCCAATCAGCGGCTGAAACTTTGGACCTTTGCGCCTGTCTCGATAACAAACGGATAAACAGGAACTGACCGCTTAAGCAAAAGTTACTAAAGTCTCGCTCGACCCACCTGATCGGATCATATGGCCGGAGTTGACAGGTTCACCAGTTCGTGGATGTAACCAAGTGGTGGTTCGTGTTTGATCGCTGCGGGAAACAAAACAAAGAAAGGGGACACACACAGACAACAAAAATAAACCTGTAATTCCAAACAACCCGAAACCGCTGAGCGCTTGAAAGCGACAAGAGTGTTGAAAGTTGCTCCGAGTGAACGTACTCAATGAAAAATATCCGCCCATCCTCACAAACACCGTAAGACCAGTGAGCAGGTAGCGTCTCCCGCCTCAATTCCGCCGCCATGATCCGAGCATGAAAACTCAGTCCGTCTCAATGGTCTCCTGCATTATCGGCCCTTGATCAAGGACGCGCCGGGATTAAAGGAACAAACTCGGCTTTGTGCCCGCCGACGGAAAATGACAACTCAAGGCAAAGCTCAATCCCTTTAACAGAGATGCAAGAGCCGATTAACGCGTCAGCTGCCAGGAGAGAGAAGGAGGTGGAAACTGTTCTGATAAAGCACAATTTCTCATTATAGTCATTCCGCAATGTTTAATATGGCTTGCTCGTTAGATATATTGCAGAAATTAATCAAAAGGTTTTTAATTGCATTTCAATTTGTTTTATCAACCGCAAGTACAACTCATAATAGGATGGATATTGATTTTTTTGTTTGCTTTTTCTCTCTCCTGTACATTATTTCTTTAAAAAGTTTGAAGAATGATATTAAAACTGTTTATCGTCTTGTTGAAGTGATCTTTGTTCAGAACACCCACTGAAAGATTATCATACCTCCGGGAATATCCAATTCTCCCGGAATTGGAGATTAATATTCAGGACACTGTTGCCAACAGGCATGGAGAATGCAAATCGGTCTATTTAAATTTTTAAAAATCCTTCAACGCTGCTGAATAAATTGAGTCGATAGTATTTGGAGTCTGGAAGAGTGAGAGGTGATCGCATTGAAACATGGAAGATTCTGAAGGGAAACCTTCACAGACAGTCACAGAGAGAGGTTGCTCCCCTTGTTAGCGAATCGAGAACGCATGGCAGTTTCATAATGAAAGTATTATAGGACCCAAACACAAACAAATAATTGCTGGAAAAACTCAAGAACAGAAGTGTGTTCTGAAGAAGAACTGGACCCGAAACGTTAAATCTGCTTTCTCTTCACAAATGCTGCCAGATCTGCCGAGTTTTTCCAGCAATTTCTGTTTTTACTTCTGATTTCCAATCACCGAAGTTCTTTCAGTTTTTGTTAATATGTAACTGAGTTGGGGAGACATTTCTTTATTCATATAATTATGATTTTGTGGAATTCTGTAATCCTAGAGGGCCGTGAACGCGTGTATATTTTAATATGTTTTAAAGATGAGATGGACGTATTTTTGATCTTTCTGGGAATCAAGAGATATAGGAAGGTTGAGTTGAAGCCAAAGATCAGGCGTGAACGTACTGAGTGGTAGTGCAGGATCCATAAGCTGTAGGGTCTACTCCTGCACCTATTTCTTAAATAACATTTCTGTTTACCAGGTATAAATTATTGGAGAAATAGGCAACATGGCTGTAACTAAATCTTCTGGAATACTTGAACTGGCAACATTTACACTTTGTCTTTTCCACCACTTCCCCCAATTCCCACCTTCCCTACAACTGATCCCCAGCCATACGTGCTTTTCTACCTTTCCTTTACAGTGGCTGACAAATCAGATCCTTCTGCCCATAACCTTTGGCCATGAAAAGGAACAGCACAATAAACAGTGGTAGATGAGCATTGCAACAACATTGTGCAAGAAACCATAACAGCACCAGCCCATAACAGATCTTTAAAAATTAATTTTGTAGAATCTATCCAATTTTTAAAAATCAAAAAGTTTGAAAATAATTTTGCTGCCTTCCCTGTTGAAATTCAAATACATGTTAAGAAGCTGGTAGAAAACAATGTAGCTGAAACAGACAAAAAGAGAAATTCCTGGAGAAACTCAGCAGGTCTGACAGCAACTATACAAAGAAAATAATGTTTCACATCCAATGGCTCACAGGGGGTCCCCAGAGATACTGCCAGACTTGCTAAGTTTCACCAGTAATTTCTGTTTTTGCTTGTTTCAGATCTCCAGCATCCGCAGTTCTTTGTTTTATAAAATCAAATAGCTAATTGATAAAGGAAAACTGGAATATTTATGAAAAATTCAAGTTCTATATCAATTAGGGAGATCTTAACCCCACATATACCTTTTTCCAAGATCTCCATCTGGTATAAGTGTAGAAAACATTAACAAAACAATTAAGCGTCGGTTTGATCCACTCTGCACTGGGGCTTTCCAGGATATTTTATTACTAATCAAAAATAACTTGTCATAAATTAACATCAGTTCTGACATCACTTTTGGAGCAAAATAAAATTGTAACCAAAGTGTAATCATTATTTACCATTCTTACATATTATAAAATAGAGCTTCCAAAGCCACTGGGGATGTGGTTAGAGGTTATATCTATAAGTATAGCTCAAGACTCTCAGACTTGTCATTAATTTCCATGTTCTTGGAAATAGATAGTCAGGGGTTTAGTGTTGTGTGACAGGAAGAGGCTAGTAAAGGCCATTTGTCTTCCAGATACTTAGCCAATTTTCTCATGTGTCTCTATGAATGCATTAATGATAGTTTGGAGTTTGGCCTCTGAGTGTGACTACACACACAAGTGCTGTTCCCTCCTGCAGCTGAATGACAGAGGTTGGTGCAGTTTTTGTTCTTGATTGGAGGCAACATAGGTCGAACAGTTCATTTAGATCAGCTCCACAAAAAAACAGGGAGCTTCATGGAGATGATGTGGAGTTTTGCAGTGATGAAAATAGAGAAGTTTGTCAGTGCACTGACACTGCTTTGTTTGACCCCAATTTACACTCATGTTAGTTATGCTAATGGATCTGTTGATGAGGATCACAGCTTGCATGTCCTCATGCAACAGGCAAAAGATGGTGATGAATTTCTATGGGCTGCAAAATTTAAGGACAGTGCTTCATAATTCTTCCCAATCGAATGAGTCAAAAACCTTTGCATGCTCAATAACAGCCATGTATTGTTGCTGCTGCTTTCTGCATTTTTCTCAGACTTGTCTTCTGGTGAAGATCATGTCCACTGTGCTCTTGATGGACAGAGTCTGCATTGTGACACTAGGAGGAGATCTCAACTACTGGTAGGAGGCAATCCACCGGCAAAGTGGGCACTCCATTACCAGTAGGCTCGCTCAGACCAACATCTCCAGTATCAAGGTATACTGTCAGTTAGCTGCATTGAGCAAACCATATCATCTGCATGCCTGATACAAAATGCCAAGCTCCCTACTCTGAGATTCGCCACAGCAAACAGTTACTGAGCGAGCAAAGGAAATGATTCAAGGACATCTTCAAATTATCCAATTTGACTGGGACGACATAGCCATCCTAGGACAAGCCAAGCAAAGACATGCACAAGAATTCCTGGAGGCCTGGCACTCAAACCGGAACTCCATGTAGAGCTGGATGCCATATACCAACCACTATGAAACAAATACGGAAGTGATGCTACCCACCCAACAAACCAAGACACATAAATAACAAATGGGACAGAAGACCGATGCTTCACCGGAGGCGCATTGATAATATTACCTAGCGTGGTGATGAAATGTTTGCGAACAAACTTAACCAGCTCAGCGAGTGTCAACAACCACATGTGAGCTATTTCCAGAGGCAGAGAGGTAAAAGTTTTGAAACATAAGGAAGCAGCCTGGGAAGACCTACAGTGAATTTGAAAGGGTAAAACAAAGTCATGTGGACCATTGGATATGGGCATTAATCATTTTCAAACAATTTAAAATTAATTTCCTTCAGTAATTAGAACTCATGTGGAGGACCAGAGAGTCGAAACAGTGAGACAGGCAGCAGTTAAGGCTGACATTTATGAACTGATCCATAAAATTACATCTTTTCTCTGTATTCCCAATAAACCTGAGAAGGATAGAAAGTGGAAGAACAAAATGAAGGCTAAAAAGCAGTTGAGAATGCTCAGGAAATTTCTCTTCAGTCTGGAAAGGGGTTTCTAAGAGTACAAGTTAAAATTGAAGGCTTAAGAGTTTCCCTTGTGAAAAAAATGTGGGACACCATTGTTCAGAATGCTGAAGGTTGGATGGAAACCTCATGGGTTTTATTGGGGTTCATAAGAGTGATTCTAAAAAAGGAAGACAGAATAATGACACAATAAACTACAAGACAGAGGGTAAACACTGCTGTGAGTGCAGGGCAGCACAGTGGCTCGGTGGTTAGCACTGCTGCCTCATAGCACCAGAGATCCAGATTCGATTCCAGCCTTGGGTGACTGTGTGGAGTTTGTCCGTTCTTCCCATATCTGTGTGGGTTTCCTCTGGCTACTCCATGTGCTGGTTAGGTCGATTGGTCATAGTAAATTGCTTGCAGGGCCAAGCAATATGCAGGCTAGTTAGGCTATCCATGGCAAATATGAGATGGTAGGATAGTGGGCCAGATTTGAGTTGGATGCTCTTCAGAGGGTTGGTGCAGACTCGATTGGTCAAATGGCCTCTTTCCATACTGTAGGAATTGTATGATAAGGTAGATAAGAGATTGCAAAGGATATTTTGTTGCGTGGAAAAGCATAAAACCTTATTCATCAAGTGATACAGCTAAATATATAACTATATTAAGGGATACAGGAGCTACATAAACTTTACACTGGAGGAAGATATAGTTTTTCCTTTAGAGAGCGCATTGAAAGCCAAAGTTTTAAGATAGAAGGACAAATGCCACATACAGCCATGTTCTTGGAGAGATTCATGGAAACATGCAAATGAGCATTCAAAAGCTTCACAGGCAAAGATGAAAGAATGGGCAAATAAAGCATGCTGTAATCTGAACACCTCACAGAATCATAGAAATGTTATGGTATAGAAGGAGGTCACTTGGCCCATCATGCCTGCACCAGCTCATTAAATGTGCATCAATACATAGTGCCAATCTCCTGCTTTTTCTGCATGCACTTGCACATTATTTACATCCAAACAATCATCCTATTCCCTCTTGAATGCCTCAATTGAACCTGCCTCCTCCACATTTCCAGGCAGTGCATTCTATTCCCTAACTACTTGCTGAGTGAAAATGTTTTTCTTCACTTCACCCTTGCTTCTTTTCCAGATTACTTTAAATCTATGTCCTCACTTTCTATTTACTTCTACAAGTGGAAATAGCTTCTCCCTATCTATTCTGTCCAATCCACTCATGATTTTGAAAGCCTCTATCAGATCTCCTCTCAACATTTTTCTCTCTGAGGAGAACAGTCTCAACTTCTTCAATCTATTCTCAAAACTGAAGTTCCTTATCCCTGTAACTATTCTTATAAACCATTTCTGCATT